CATGTTTGGTGGGACTGGGATTCGAACCGCGACCCGCAGACTGCGAGTCGAGCTCCTTAACCACCTGGCCATGCCGGGCCCTGTTAACTAGTAACTTGAACACTTACCACTCGGAGGAAGGGCCAATTTTAAAGTGATTAAGTGTTCAGAATTATTCGGAGTCAGAAGAGAATGACAAAGAGAAACAAGTTTGAATTCTGAACAGATAGAATTGTCAATTAGGAACATTTAGTATATGGCGTATAATAAAGATAAGCTCTGGAAACGTATGTAGATATTTAGTTGAGTGTATGTATAGGCAGGATTACTTATCAAACTTGAGAGTAGTCCTGATATTTATTTGAATAACTAAAATAATGTATACGAATATGTATTTGTGAGTGTGTATGTGTAAATATGTGAAGAAAGCTAACAGTTTAATAAACTTAGCACTAGTTAGGTGGTTAGACTTAAAACTTAAATACACGTTAATATGTTTTTGTTTTTGGAAACATTGGTTGTAAATATGTGAATAGTTTGTAATTTTGGATAAGAATATTTACAGAGCCTAAGGAAATGTCAATAAGAGTAAAACAAAAGTTATAATTAAGGTTCTTGCGTTTACAGCTCAGAGATCCTGTAGGGCTCATTATGTCAGTTTCAGTTTAAAATTAAACGAACTAAACGGTTATACACTAAAATTAGTCAAACGCATCAATGATGAAACTAACTCTTCCTACAAAAAACAAAACAAACAACACAGATTCATATATTGAAGAAAACATGAAACATAAAGTAGAAGCCTAGGAGAGAAAATGAAAATAATCTTCCACAGATTTAACTCAAAAACAATATTAAAAAAAAACAACTCTTCTTTAAGAAACGTCAAAATCAAAATCCTCTATTCCAAAAGACGTTAAAATTCATGGCGAACAAAACACAATGCGATCGCGAAACACAATAAAGGGAAACCAACGCCAGTTTGTGCTCGTATTAAGGAACATAAAAGAGATGTCAAAAACTTCAACACTAACACTT